GCCAGTAATGAATTCAAATATCTAATCTAGGATAATTTAAATATCGTCCGTCGTTTTATCCATCAACTTCTTGTTGATATTTGTGCATGTCTGTCTTTGTCATGCTCATATTCAGGCCACCAGGATGTGAGGAATTTTTGATTCCTATTTCCTAATCCAAGGAGTAAAGTATCCACAGAATATTAAAGAAGTGCTTACTTCTATCGTCTACTGAGTTAAGGATTAATTGTTTGATAAATTATAGGCGCAAATATTGCAGTCACGATCTCAAATTTTTAAAATTAGTGTAGATTTGACCTAAAATTTTCATTTGTAGCAGCATTGATTCCAAACATCTCATTCCTTTGCCCTCTAGAGAATTCTTAGCTGACTAGAAGTCAAGGGTCAAATCTTAGTTTGATCAATTTTAAAAGGGCAAAATGATAACTTCATATTTTTTTACAAAAAAATAATTAAATAAAAAAAAATATTTTTTCATCTTCTTTTCCACCCCATCCCAATCTAACCAAACTAAAATGGTTGTATATAATTAACAACATATTTCCTTGTACTTAAAAAAGAATGGGTGTCGAGTTAAAGATCAAGATGATGGTCTAAGTGCAAGAAAAATTAGTATGACATGATAAATTGTTGATAATTCACGGAAATTAAAGCAACAGCACCAAGAATAGCAACATCAAGAGCACTGATTCATTTTCCTGTGGAAGAATAATAGGGTAACCTGTCCAAATTCAATTGCAGGACAGAAGTCATCGAGTTTTGAGATCATTGCAACTGATGAATGGAGTCATCGAGAAATTAGAATGTCAAAATTGATATAAAGGTCTCCACAAAGAAAATAATAAATCATTGAAAAACATATTGAGTTAGGAGTAGGCCGGGCTTTGAAAATTTTGAATCGTTAAATTATCATATGTCCTGCACATAATTTTTTTCACAAACATGGTCGAATCAAAGTGTTTCTTGTGATGAGGAACATTATTTTCGGGCTTTAAAATCTTTTTTGAGGGCCCCCTTATAACTTGAGGCCCAAGGCGATTACAGAACCGGCCTTGGTTAGGAGTCCAACACATTTTACGGATTTCCATTCAGAATTTTCTACAAAGAGTTATGCGTGTTTCCCCAAAATTTCCGCCCCCAAAAGTTCAGCACACAACAAAAATTTGTCGACAAACATGGAAATCGTGTTGACACGAGGCTTTTCTTTCAACACAAATGGCTCCTAAGTATTGTAACTTTTTTTTTTGTAAGTGGAAGGAGGGCGGTACCTCTGAAATTTTATTAATAAGTCCTCTCTTGTGGCGAATGAATATCGTGGTTACAGCTGAAAAGAAACGGAGAAATAAATGGAGAAGTACTACTTCCCTTACAAAAGAAATAAAGTAAAGTAGTAAAAAGGAAGTGCTACTTCCCTTGCAATATTACCTCATTACTATGACGGGAAACGAAAACAAGGCAAGTTACACTTATCCAAGCGGATGCAACCAATATTATAAATAGGGAAACTGGAGATAGATTCTAAGAAGTGTGAACTACCTTGAGCTCCAATA